CCCTCACCACAGTGCAACAGTGAAAAGGGACCCCTCTCAAACAGTGTCGCGTTCCGAACGTTGTTTAAGCGACATACACCGGTATTGCGGTATTTAAAAAATTCATATCATAACAAAAATAAACACCGGTATTCGGTATGAACCGGTATACCGCCCAGCACTAGGCTACAGTATCATACAGTATCAACACACTAATCACTATAAAGAATGATACAATATATGAAACGTAACTTGTAAGAAATTCAGGCTATACACTGAAACACTTTCACCATATTAAGTGTGTGTTGTGTGTTTAATGTGTCTTACCGTCAGACAGTAGTAGTAAATGAGGACCAGGCTGATACACATGGAAATGTTTGCTACAAACGACAGAGGAGCCAAGTACTTGAGGTTGCGGATAAACACCAACACGATGATAAAGGGCAGGAAGAAGAGCATGTAGAGGCGAGAGTCGTAGCTGGGGACAATCACTGTGGTTTCGTTGTTGTGACAGTTCACGGTCGTCACGTTTGCAGTCTCAACCACCTACAATATGCAAGCAAATGGAAAGATTCTTTGATGACAGTAACAATGCTCCTTTAACAACCTGACAGAGAATTTTACATTTATAAGTTCAAATTATAGAAAGGAAGTACATCTTTTTGTTGGGGGAAGCAAACTTGGGAGGTTATTTAATCAAGAGAACTGAAGCGCAATGCTGCCCTCTTGTGGTGAGTAAAGAAATTTGCTCACAGTATTTCTGTTGCATTTACAAAAGCTTTTATCTAAAAGGAACATATATTGTTTTTAAAGTTCACTGTGAATTAAATCTAGCAAATAGTAGCATGTTCTACCAGTTGGCCTACACGAACACTACTGTTTTCTCTGGATTCTTATTTTTTTATATGAAAATAAAGGACATTATGCTTTGTGTGATTCTGAAGAGTATTATTTGAATGTGAGAAAAACCTTTACTGAAATCTGAAAAATGTCTCTTCTTCTGTATTTAAAGCTCTCTTACCTGTTTGACATTGTCGCTGAGGAACACAAAGTAAACGCAGCAGAAGCCCAGCTGGGTTATGTTGAGGAACATATTCACCACACGTCTGAAAGCCAAAAAACAAACACAAATCAACGTTCAGGTACAGGTCAAACTACTATTTTTGTAATTTCACAATAATCTAAATGTCACAAATCCAGCCATTTAGACATCAATGTTTTGCATAAATGCTGTTCTTTTGTACTTTCTATTCATCAAATAACAGTTTCAACAAAAATTGATAATATTGATAATAATTAGAAGTGTTTCTTGAGCAGTAAATATGCATATTAGAATGATTTCTGGAGGATCATGTGACACTGAAGACTGATAATTCAGCTTTGTCATTACAAAAATAAATTACATTGACATTTTTTTTAAATTGCAATAATATTTCACAATACTCTAATTTTTATTGTATTTTTGATGAAATAAATGCAGCTTTGGTGAGCATAAGAGACTTAATTCAAAAACAAGAAAAAAAAATCTTACTGCCCCCAAAACTTTTGATTGTTAGAGTACATCTACTAGACAAGAATCACCTAGAAAGCACTGTGCTATAATCATGGCGTATAAACATCTGACAAACATCTTAAAAAGAGCAGTTTCATGTAATATATAATATTATCTAATGAGCTTTTAACATCTGACAAGGAACATTTCATATCACAGATGAGCAAATGCTCTTATAATAACATCTTCAGATTAACAGATGTATGTGTGCTATCATGTGCAACATGTGAAACAGTGACGCTGCACAGAGATCAGGTGCTGAGAGAGTCATGTGACAAAGGGTTAAAGAATGTGGTGAGAACAGCACAAGGAGAAAGTCAACTTTAACATACTGCTGAATTTAAAAACTGCCCTGTAAGCAGTGAAACACAGACGTTCAGTTACTGTACCTTCCCCACAAAGAGTGTCTGCTCAGCCACGACACATTCTCCATGCCATACTCCACTGCATCTCCGTAGGAAAGAAAGGGCTTGCCCATCCTTAATACAGACAACATTTCATTTTGTCTGTATTCAAGAAATGTGTGCGATTTAACAGCCAACTGCATGACAGACACGCAAGTATTTTCCCTACTTATTACTTCCTACTAAAAATGGTCCTGAAAAAACACATAAATGTAATTATAAGACCATTGGGTGGATGGATAGATGGATAGATAGATAGAACATATCTCACTATATCTATAAATGGAAATGACAAAAGAAAACTACACTCAAACCTACAAAGCAGATGTCAGGTATCAATACACTTGTCAAGAACATGAGGGGCAGTATTTCTAAAAATAATGTTTATTCTTACTTTGCACTTAGATGATGTGCACATTTCACAAGGAGGTTCATGCAATGCACAGCCACGATTCCCAAAGCCAGAAGACTTAAAGGCCCCACCTGCAGA